TATTCTCTCATCGTTGCAGGGCTTGCATCTTGATCTCCATCGATGCAACCACCAATGTACCGAGGAAATTCTCGAAAAAAAAAAAAAATTGCAATCCACGACCTTCGGTTCATTATAAAAAGATTAACCAAAGATCAAGGAACGTCAGGTTGGGGGGAGGGGGGAGGGGGGGAGGGGGAGGGGGGAGGGAAGAAAGAGGAACGGGAAGGGGGAGGGGGAGGGGGAGGGGAGTAAGAGGAGAGGGGAGAGAGAAGGGAAAAAGAGGAAGGGGGAGGGGGAGGGGGAGGGGAGAAAGAGGAAGGGGGGAAGGGAGAAAGAGGAAGGGGAAGGGGGAGGGGAGAAAGAGGAAGGGGAAGGGGGAGGGGAGAATGAGGAAAGAGAGGGGGAAAGAAGAAGGGGGAGGGGAGAAAGAGGAAGGGGGAGGGGGAGGGGAAGGGAGAAAGAGGAAGGGGGAGGGGGGGAGAGAAAAGGGAAAAAGAATAAGGGGGAAGGGGAAAGGAGAAAGAGGAAGGAGGAGGAAGAGGAGAAAAAGAGGAAGGGGAGAGAGAGGGGAAAAAGAGGAAGGGGCGGGGAAAATGGAGAAAGGGGAAAGGAGAAAGATGAGAGAAAGGGAAGAAAGAGGAAGGGAGAGGGGAAAAAGAGAAAGGAGGAGGGGAGAAGGAGAGAGGAAGAGGGAAAAGAGGAAGGGGATGAGAAAGAGGAGAGAAAGAGAAGAGAGAGGAAGGGAGAGGGGAAAAAGAATAAAGAGAAGGGGAGAAGGAGGAAGGAAGAGGGAAAAGAAGAAGGGGATAAGAGAGAGGAGAAAAAGAAAGATGAAGGGGTAGAGGAGACGGGGGACCTAGGGACAGGAGACAAGGGGGGGGAGGCGGAGTATTAGGTCAGACTGAAACTCCAAGAACAGTCCTGAAAGCTGAAAGGAAAACCCCAGCTTTCATGAAGAGTGGAAAACCTCCCAAGGCTTATATTCGCAGAGATTCATTAGGAAAAGTGCGGAGAGAATTTTCGCGTTTCTATTGTAATTCGACGATAATGCTGGCTAAGTTTTTTGGTCAGGTTCAGGACTTAATCTTTGTTTAGGTTGTTCTGTATTTGTCTGTTAGTTTGTAAGTCTCTTTATCTCTTTATCTCTCTCTCTCTCTCTCTCTCTCTCTCTCTCTCTCTCTCTCTCTCTCTCTCTCTCTCTCTCTCTCTCTCTCTCTCTCTCTCTCTCTTTCTCTCTCTCTTGCTCTCTCTCTCTCTCTCTCTCTCTCTCTCTCTCTCTCTCTCTCTCTCTCTCTCTCTCTCTCTCTCTCTCTCTGTCTATCCCTCCTTTTCCCTCCCTTCCTCCCTCTCCCTTGACCTCGCACCGAACTCCAGCCTCATAGATTATTTAGTCCTTCCATAGAGTCTTCCAAATGACCGAAGAGAGAGGGTTAGGTTTTCTCTCTCTTGTTAAGCTCACTGAGGCGAAGATCACAGTCCTGTTTTTGAAAGACAATGCATGGTTCTTCTGTTCGAAATCGTCTCCCCCCCCCTCCCTCTTGACCTCACAGACGCTATCATTTTTTTACAAATTGCCAAAGTTCGGATGTAAAAAAAAAAAAGAAAAAAAAATACTTAAACGAGAAATTGTGATTGTTCAAAAGTTTTTTTTATTTTTTCGTTTTTTTTATTTCTCTAATTCTCTTTTGTCTCCAATAACCCGGTAAATGTGTGCTGTTGAGTGGAGGTGAGTTTTGGCAATATTGGGGCCCCGATCAATTCTTTTATGTTTTTAGTTATTTTTTATTTCTATTTTTTATTTATTTATTCTTTTTTTTAAGGAAATCGGGTGAGGCATTTAAAAAATCATATATTTTTTTAGCTATCTTTCTATTTATATGTCTGTGTGTGTGTCTCTCTCTGCCTCACTCTCTCTCTCTCTCTCTCTCTCTCTCTCTCTCTCTCTCTCTCTCTCTCTCTCTCTCTCTCTCTCTCTCTCTCTCTCTCTCTCTCTCTTCTCTCTCTCTCTCTCTCTCTCTCTATCTATCTATCTATCTATCTATCTATCTATCTCACTTTACTCTCCCCCCCTCTCTTTATCGATACGCAGTATGTATAACTTTCTTTTTATATACTGTTTCCATTCAATGTTTACCCTTTTCATGTTTAAGAAATTTGCATAATGTTGTGGAAGTATTGAAGATTTAGATCGCTTTGCTTCGAGTACAATCTCCAGGGAAATAAACAAGACTCCCAGACGTTGCATTTACCCCTGTCTTTTCCCGGATTTTTTTTTTTGTTTGTTTGTTTGTTTGTTTGTTTTTGAGTATATGTATTTTTTATCCTTCCGTTATAAATATTGTTCTCTTTATTAGAAGTGTTGGGAGGAAAGTATTGCTTAATTCCTTAATTCCGTTTTTTTTTCTTTTCTTTTCTTTTATTGGCTTTACAGTTATTGTAATCTAATAAACGCATTATTGAAGCGTATGTTTAATTTACCTTTTTTTTTTCTTTTTTCTTTTTGGCTTTACAATCATTCTAATCTAATAAACCGCATTATTGAGAAGTATGTTAAATTTACATATTACTTTGTTTTTTCTTTTTGGCTTTTCAATCACTGTAATCTAATAAACGCATTATTGAATATATCATAGAAACATGTATTTGGTGTATATTCCACATTGTGTTGCACGAACATAGTCAAGATATGTTGCAGAAGACGGCTAATGCCTAAGGTAAGATGCTTCCTCAACGGCGAAAATATTGCACGTTCAATGCTAAGGCTCAAGAATAAGTAGAACAGAAGATGTGGAAGAAGGAGGAGGAGGGGGAGGAGGGGAACGAGGAAGAGCACAAGGAGGAGGAAGAGGAAGAGGAGAAGTAGAAGGGGGAGGAAAAGGAAGAGGAAGAGAACAATAAAATGATGATGAAGTTG